TGGTGCAGTTTTAAAAACATAGGGATAAAACGCGCACATTTATGAAAACACAGGGGGGTTTGGTGCAATTATCCCCATAATTTAAGGAAACATATCTCACATTTTAAATACAAGTAAAAAATAGGGAAAATTACCTACTACACTTTAAATTACCAATTTTATTACATTAATACAAGCCATGTTTATTTATTTGCAAAGGAACTAAAAATATATATTTTATTTGCAAACATACAAGCATATTAATCTACAAATAAATATCACGTTAAATATGGTAACAACATTTTTTTAAGGAAGTTATTATGAATAGAGATGTTAAACGGTCTACCAACTGAGCTATATCCCCCCGAGCCAAGTGGAGCATGGCCCGACGGGCCGGCCCGTCTAGCCCTGAAAAAAAAAACAGGGTTAGGGCTTTTTATTGGTAGCCCGTTTAAATCAGGGCTTTTTAGGCCCGAACCGTTTAAACCGAAGCCCGTTAGGGCTAGCCTGAAACCCGCTAGGGCTGGCCCGTTTAACTTGAGTTGCGCGTTGTAAATGTTTGCAGCAAGTAAGTAATATGCTCTTAGATTCATTGTATATTACAATTTTGCTATTTCACTTCACATGTAAATATGAGTTGTAACGGATTATAATGATTTTGAAAGATAATTATTAACATGTTCTTATTGTACTCCATACCAAAATATTTAAGTCAATCAGAACGAGTAATAGGAAATACATGAGACAAAGACCTAACAAATGAAACATAGTGATAGAATTTATAATGATATAATATCGTAAAAATTTTCAAAGCGTACAAAATAAGTAGTAAAATGGTAATTTAAGTAAAAATTCGTATATTTGTTTCTTTTGAAAAAAAATGTTATTTAAGAGTTTGTAGTGTATGTTCATATATGATGTGTAGTTGTATATATAGAGCGGTAAATATCAAATAGCCGTTGAAAACAATCGTTAATTAGTCGTTATAATTTTTTTTTTATTTTTTTATTTATATTTTATTTTTTGATACATTATTATTATTATTATTATTATTATTATTATTATTATTATTATTATTATTATTATTATTATTATTATTATTATTATAGCCCGCATAGCCCGTTTAGCCCGAAGCCCGCTAGGATTAGGGTTAGGTCCTTTTATTGGTAGCCCGTTTAAATCTGGGCTTTTTAGGCCCGAACCGCTAGGGCTAGCCCGTTTAACATCTCTAATTATGAATTAAATAAAAATTGATCCCACTAATCAAGGCAATAACTCCAAACATGCTTACAGTTACCCTCCGTCCCAAACCGCCACGCTCTTGTTTCATATTGTTTTTAAATTTTTCAGGAAGCCCTAAGAACCAAGTAAGTTGCGAAATCTAAAATCCCGTCGGAGGTTGGGCTAAACTAATCGAGTGGCGCCGGCACAACTTCACAAGTATGGTCGAGTTCACGCCTCCAACATTACCAAGCAAAAAGCACTGGAGTCACTGTGAAAAAAAAAATAAAAAAAAAACTAATTTTCGTGAAGAAATTGAAGCCGGGTGGTTACGACAAGAATACGAGTAAAATTCGTGAAATCGACGATTTTCAGTCCGACCAAGACGAAATCCAACAAAATAGTACCCGCAGTCGACCAAAATTTAAGAACCCCAAAATTATCCGAAGAAGACACCACAGAGGACCCTGATTTTTTTGTTGAAGACAACAATCCAACCGGGATTGACGAAGTTGAAGAAGATATGAGCGTAGACGACATTGACGAAGGTATGAGCATAGACGACAATGATAAAGTTGAAGAAGATATGACCCTATTCCTGTTAGAAGTATAATTGTGTCATTGGCAACACACTATATACTCAACATAAGCTTGTTATATACCATTATGCACATAATGTTGTAACGTGCGTAGGATAAAAGGCATAGGATATGTATATTCCATTTTTCGTTTGATTTATTTTGGAGTATATGTACAGTATATCTACAGTATATGTATAGTATATGTTACAGCAGTATATGTTAGATGTTGCGTGTATAAACAGACAGTATATGTGGTGTGTATAGGGAGTATATGTTCAGTATATTACAATTTTTTTTTTTTGTAAATTGTTCGGTATATGTGGTGTGTATAGGGAGTATATGTTCAGTATACTAGAAGATTTTTTTTGTAAATTGTTCGATATATGTTGTGTGTATAGGGAATATATATGTTCAGTATATTAGAAGATTTTTTGGTATAATCAATATAAGGTTAAGTAACCTGTTATAATATGTTTATAAATTATATATATACTTTTATGTATAAATGTAAAAAAAAAAGACATAATTTTTTTTATGGAAGACATGTTTTTCATGGTAACATATCTGAATATATACTAACATAAACGCAACATATACCTACTGGACAGC